TTGTAATGTCGCCAAATTCGCACAAGGATATTTTGCAGACTTCGTTTGCTAAAGTTGACAAAATCAAACTCAGGTTAAATCGAAAAAAATTGAGTGCCTTCGTCACCCAAGAGCACCTGAGCTGCAGGTGTCTTAAATGATACGGATATCGGCTGCAGTGAAGAATTTCTTGCACATCTTTAAAAAAGTTAAGCTCTTAACCGAATCTCCTACACTCTGAATGTCGCTCTGTCCAACGACCACCATTTTGCATTCTTATGCCCACAACATTAAGGAGTAACGATTCTTCTACACTGACGCTACTTACTCTAAGCATGAAAAGGCAGCACAGCATTTTGATTGCATTAAAATGTACCCTTAATAATAACAAGCAGAATAAGTGAGAAAGTAGAGAATGCTTTCGTCTGCAAACGAATAAGGAAGGTTTTCCATCGCGCACAGAAGATCATTGATACACGCCAGGTAGACAAAAGAAGATGTTGATGTCTACAAATAAAAACACCATCGAAGAAATATTTTTTCTTAGACTTACCTCTTGTAGACTTGCTTAGTATATTGGTTCGTGTGGACGAGACCCAAAATTAATGGTCATTTTTAATCATTAGGCTTTCGTTGGCTTACACCGTCGAGGTAAAAATTCATTCTTCATTTGAGAAAGTATTTCCAAGTCTGACTCTTTATTAGAATAATTTGCTAAATTCGTTCGATTGAAAACTTAGTATTTTATTTATATTTGCTCTGGTGCACCCATCCATAGTTTAGATAGTTTCCTTAGATATTTTAAAATTTATGGTATTTACTATGAATAAGCCAAGTTTAGAATTTTTAAAGTTATTAAATAAGTTAAAAGTTGAGAAATATCGTGACTTCTTGAGAGCAGTGACTTTTAATTAAAGCAAGGGTCATTGTTCTTTAAAGTCATGATAATGCGAAAAAAGACAAATATATATATTAAAGTTTAAATCGCAGGTACACAACCTTATAATCAAACCAAACGACTTATGTAACACGACACGACACATTCTCCCGCGATTTATTGCATGGTATAGATAAAAAAAAAAAAAACCTATATATAAATTATTTACAAAAACAATTTATATTAAAAAACTTTAGCTATTGAACGTTTAATTAACGCAAATAAAAATTATGTTTATCGGTTTATTTAAGCATTTACAAGTAAATACAGATTACGTTGCATGCACTAAAAACCTTGTCGTTTTCCCTTTTAATATATATATAATTTTTTTATTTTTTTTTTTTTTTATTATTTAACTTGGTATTGAATTATGAAATAATCACATGGCTTTTGCGTTTCTGAATCTGTAGACACGTAATAAATGATCGCATGCGTGGCTTTACTTATCACAACGTGATGTCAGTTATTTTTATCATCATCGTCAGATGGCAGCCGTGTGTGCCATCTAAACAGTGACATAACAAACGTTTGGCGGTAACATGTGTATCTACGGGGATAATAATAATCTAAATGCACAAGTTTACATATAATAAGAACATAGAGAGCACAGCGAACAAATAATAACAGGAAGAAAATGAAACAAACAAACAAACAAACACACTTACACACATTTATGTACACAAATATACGGAATTTATACGCATACGGATATTACTCTTAACTAAACATTTAAAATATGAAATGTTGATTTTATTTTGTTCTTGTCATTCTTGTTGTTATTGTTGTTGTCGTTGTTGTTGCTGTTGATATTGCTATTGCTATTGCTATTGTGTTAGTTAACGCATATTTCTCAATTTAATATTACTATATACGTAAACATTCATATCTATCTATCTGTACATATAAATGTATTACTTATACCTTCATCATAATCATCAGGTGCTGTTTTTGCTGGTTTCTGGAATAGTTCTTAAAACACCTGAGGCCTTATTGCAAGGATACCTGTATTTATTTATACCGAAACAAACTAAACAGAATAAAGCCAATGCGAAAAGAACGATTATTAAAATAGCAGACATCACGACAGATCAGAAAATATAAACATGTACATATACAACGACAACGTATGAGCAGGTTGTTCATAGTCTTGCTCGCATTCTTTTTGTTGTTGTGTACGTTTTTATGTATAGCGAGTATGGCGAGGATGGCAAGAAGAAGGTATATATATAAGAAAGAGAAGCTAGAGGAAAATGAAAAAAAAGTCACTTTTTTAAACTTTTTATTAGCTCATGCGAATGATCCCTCTTTTCGATGGCTATGTAAATGCATGCGCACATGTGAAACACATACTATAATAATAATTACTCAATAGTCATTTATATCATACCTATAAAAAAAAAGATATTCCAAACTTCACAATGACGGTCGCGCATACATATCATCTAAAAATCTTATGCATGCACTTAAATGCGTAAGTATTGAAAATGAAACATTTTTTTTTTTTTTTTTTTTTTTGCTTTTACTTCAAACACTTGTGCAACCACCTGAAATGAAATCCGTGTGACTCATACATTTTTTTCTTGATTTTCTTAGTTTTTATCTGTTCGCATCTCTTTTTATTATTGGGTCAGATCCTTTGTATTCGCTTCCGCGTTTGCACGAGCTTATGAGGGTTAAATGTATTGCCCATGTATATGTGCGTGCGTCTAAATGTGAAAGGATCCCATTTAGACAGCGTTATGACCCAGATAAGAAGATTACTGAGTTGCCAAGCAGCCGCTTATAAAAAACCTAAGCAACTAACATTTTTATTGTTTCACTCAGTTGATTGATTTCGTTGTTAGATCTCTGTTACTTTTCATCTTATTCTCATTTTATGGGTTAAGTAAGCAAAAAAAAAAAACACACCAGTCCACGGGGGTTGTTTGTCATACGCAACTGTAACAACTAACAAGACAAACTTCGAATAATTCTATATGTGTATGTTTTCGAAATTTGTCGACAACAATGCTTCTGACCACTTACACAGCTGTGGATTTATCAGGTGCTTCGAATTTATATGAAACAATGCAACTATTTCCACTATAACATTAGCTCAGGTTAAGGGAAATGTTCAACAGCAACAACAACAACAAAGACATTTTCTTTTCTTCTTCAGCATGTTGTCCCTTTCGTTTTAATATGAAATATTCTTATTTTTGGTACAAGAATTATGATTGCGCCTTTAATCTGGTTACGTTGATTATAGGGTTTCAGTTTTCACTCTTTAAGGCTTTTGTAATTATTTATATTCATTCTTGCTTGATTGCGATTCTTGGCAATAAGCAAGACGGTTGTTTTCTCTTTGTAAAGTACTTTGCCTGGTTTATAAACCAAGCAAAAAAAGGGTGGATTTATTAATTTATATAAAAGTGGAGATGTCCTTAAATCCTGTACAAGTGCTTAAAAAAAAACGCACAGGAAAAAAGGCGAGTCGTTGTTTTCGGTAATTTAGCAAAGAGCACGCTAGATTCTAAAGGCATGCAAGCGGCAAATATTGGACCCACGATTTCACGCACTGTTAGCGTTGATAATCCAGCTGCCAAAATTCTAGTCTGGATACTGGGTGATGAGCTCTGAGATGAGATCAAATTAGTTAAATGTTTTCACAGGCGAAACTAAAATATTAATCATATCAAAATTATATTCATAAGTAATAATCATTGGCAATTGAAAATGTTGATTTTGATGGCGTTGAATGCTTGGTTGTAGTCACTGGTGATGAAATCTTGCCGACTTTTGATAATCCTTCATTGATTAACTTAGATAAATCTGAACTCCTCGAGCAATTATAGAATTTTGGCTTCTCTCCGCTTTAGGAATAGATTTTGACCTAATCTATGTAAAGAAAGACGACTCTGTTTTTTTTTTTTTTTGGAAAACTATTCGAAAAAGCTAGGTGCATATTTAGGCCTGAAATGCGCAAAGAAACGCCGTTTTGTGTTTATACTCTACATTAGTTGTGAAACAGGCGTATATTAAGTTTATGCGCACGTATGCAACGCACGGAAGGGCTTAAGATAGACCCACGTTTTATTGTTTATTGTTAAGTTTGGACCGGCGCGGGAAATCTTTTGAATCCACCCTAACGAAAGCGAAGTTCATATGATAAAAAGGTCTGATTTTCAACGACTCATAAAGGAGATCAGATCGTAATAGTCAGCTAACATAAAAAAATTAACTGTACCAAATTTGGGCCACGTGCGCCTATTTTTGGGTCACATCGTACATGAGGATTTTCACGAAAATTCTTGTTTTTTAGATCAGGAAAGTTCAAGTTTTAACATGTTATGATGAAAATTGATCCATAATAATAATTTGACATGAAAATTAACTGCGCTACATTTTGAACACGTGTCCCAATCAAATTGAGCTCTTGAGGGCAAACATTCTTATGGTTTCATTTGCAAAGAGGTTCAACCAAACTATTTCATATAAAAAAAGGGTATAATTTTTGTGTTCTGTGTGCAAAAAAAGAATTGTGTTAGATCAAGTGGTTTAGGGTATTTAATAGTCGACTTTAATGTTTTCACTTGTTTCCGATTGCCTTAGCCAAAAAAGGCCTTCATGAAACTGAATCATCATGAATCATGAAACTGAAGTCTGAAATTTTTGATAGACCGTCTTTGATGCCGATGTGAAACCTAGGAACGGATTTTGACCCACGATGCATAGAGAAACCCTTTTTGGTGGATAATCATTTCGCCATTCTTCTTGCAATGAACAGAAATGTAAACACGAAAAAAATTATTCATTTTCGATCAGTATCAGATTTCAAAAACCATTAAACAACGCCCTGTTTGAATGATAAAATTTCGGAGGATTTCTACTTTCACACCTTATTCCAAGATTGCTATCAACTACCGGTATAGTTTATTTATTCCTATACATATTTACATCTATGTATAGAAGTCATATGAATTAATTATGTTAAAAGTAATAAGAAATATTTTGTTGAATTTTATTTATTGAAATATTTCCCATCTAGAAAATGAAAAGACTTACGAAAAATTGTTGATATATAGAAAAATCTGATGATCTTTACCTAGCACTTCTTGCGTCCGCGGCTATGAAAGGTTTTCGTCGACGATGCCCTGTTATATTTAAATCTCGATCCGTGAGGTGAGTAGCGTGGTCTAGCGTGAGAGTATACAAACCTTATGGGCGTTAAATTTAAAGAGCCTCTGTTGGTAAACTCGTTCGTTAGATTATGGCGTGAGTGCGAAGATGCGTTAGTCCAATTAACTTCGGGCGATAGCGAACTTTTATAAATCGCCAGCATACGCTGTTGCACATTATATAAATCAAAATATTCCTGTGGGCACGATTCTCTAAGTAAATCGGCAAAGTCAAGCATGGCTGTCATCTGATTCGAATTGAAGTTGCGCGTTGCGAAGACTAAAGGTGGATCGTTCAAACGATTTTCTTGTATTGTGTCGGCAGCCATATCGTAGCTATCAATTTCTTCTATCATGTTGAAGATACCATTACCATCAGTTTGTGTAGCAACGTCTTTGAAGAAAGAAACGGTGTTTGCCAGAACTCTGTCCGAGCTTTCGTCTATTAATTGTTGCAAGTTTGGTGGTAAATCAAGGTTGTCTAGCTTATCGTGTAAACAATCAGCGTCGAAACCCAATATGCGGCAGTTGGTGGCGATTTTCGAGGACAAAGCTTCCAATCCCCATTCACGCATATTGAAAACAGCTCTGCGGGAACTAAATTTGTAGTGTACGTTGTTTATCTTATGCAAAGGCGACCGGTATTCATAAGCGCCAGAAAAGCAACCATGTGATAATTTACGCATAGTGGACGCAAAAACAAACCCACCTTCCAAAAGTTTTTGCGAATGAACCGAATACATTTTAAAACAATCTAACGCCCAATTAACACGCAGCATAGCTTTCTCCATTTTCTCTTTAGAACGTGTTGATGATACTATATCATCAGGTTCTTTTAACTCCTGCAACGCAGTAGGTCTGAACGTCGCGACGTTCTGATTTGAATTTTCATGATTGTAGTCAAATGCTTTATTCCCACTTTGGCGATAACTTTCTGCTTCTTCTTCGCCTGTCCTTTGGCGTTTCCAAGCTCTTAAATTCCCATTTTTTTCTATATTTTCCTTTTCATTTACAGTTAAGCTTGTGCTTCCCGGCTCTTTCTCATTTTTTTGTAGCCATTTATCTATTTCTTCTATAATTCGAAGACTGACATTATGGAGGTAATTGTCGGTCGTTTCAAAACTTTGAGCTATGTTTCCCTCGTTCTTTTCTCCAATAATGTCCATATTTTTGATCTATCGTCTCTAATTTGAAAATTTACTTCTTTCGTTAGGTTTTGCAATTGCTCGGTCTCATCCGCTCTAATATTATCTAATAAAAAAGCGTTTGTGGGCATATGAAGTAACTATCACTTTTCTTTTATTCCAATTTATGGTTTTGCTTTACCTGAATTTTTACACTTCTTCTCCTTTACTTAGCTTACTACGTACATTAATCCGTGCCAGCAGATTTCTTTTTGTTAGACAGATTATAGGATTCTAAATTGATTATTAAACGACCTTCCTAAAAAATTGTACCAAAAAATAAAATCGCTTTATATTTTGAAGATACCTTTCCAGATGTTCCGAGGTACCTCCGACACGAACGGCGCTCCGTATGATAACAAATTGTCACTCTGTAAAACTTAAAACAAAACTCAAGCCTCCCTTGGAGAAAATCCTTAAGAAAAGATATCGTAAAAATTGTAAAATCTTATCAATTAAACGTCAGCTCGATGGTAGAGAAATGTCACTTCAGAGTATTTGTTGAAAAAATTTTCGCCTGAATATGTATAGAGAGCATTATGTAAGCATGTATGTAATTCGCGCTATTGGAATGACTTTGAATAATTGCGGCCAGTGTTACCAACTTCTAAAATAATGTGAAGTTAATTCGATGGCGAAAGTTTAAAATAATCCTTGCTTTTCTTATCACACCTGTGTTTTCGTAGGCAAATTTTGCATACATCTCTGTATAGCCCACACACTTACTTCTCTTTTATCTTTTAATTTGCATTAATTTGCAAACAAATTTGCAATTAAACGTTCCAAAAACAGTAACTGTAGGGGAAGAAAAACGCCTGCTAGCTAGTGTTAAAAGAAATGAGAAATTTACTACCAGACATGTCGTCTCTACCGCATGTATTCAATCTTAAATGATGAGTTTTTGAAATTCAAAGATGATTTAAGTTGTCGAATGGTGACACATGCCGTTTATTGACAATACGATGGCAAATGACTGAGCTGAAAAACTCAGTCATAAAAAAGTATGCATAGGCAAAAGGGGAATAATAAAAGTCAGACGGGAGAACAACACAGTTGGGATATTTGCGTGTGCCCATGCGATAAATGAACATTGAAGGAAATTTGCGAAAGTTGCTAATACAATAAGGCATTTGGCAATAGTTTCTTTTCTTTCTTTTTTTTTTGTGTAAATTAACCACAATATTTTTGTTTTCGGTTTTTGTGAAACGAACAACTTTGCATAATAACTTGCTTGCTCGGCCTAAAGTCGATCCTTTGCCTTTGCGGCTGCGTTTATCTGCAAAAATTTCACGTACGTATTTGTGTAAACAATTCGATAAAATTATACATCTGTACTGATCATCTTCAGCTGATAATGGCTGACAGCGAAAGCAGGTATGTTACTGTCTTTATAGTACGTTTTTGGGTAATGTTACAATCGAGAAATGCGGTTGAGTTGGCAGATCAGATGTTCACTGTTAAATATCAAAGGGCTATGCATATATATATTATGTATTATATATATTAAGTAAATAAAAAATGGTAATTATTCACGATTGTTATAAAAATTAGTTTTTTAATTTCATTTAAAGACATGACACTGAAAAGTTTATGTATAATTATTAAAACTGTATATAATGCGACAATTTGTTTCATCAGTTTATAAGAATTATTGA